AATGCAATTAGGCACAGGCAAAGGGACAGGGTTTTTACCTGGAAATAAAGAAAGAGCCGCGTTAAAATCAATGATTGGTCTCTGATACATTCTGGGAGTATTTATCACTGCAACAAAGCGGTATAGAATTAAACAAAAAAGTTCAATGTAATCCACAGAGAATGTATTGCTTGCATGAAGATTTCATCTGTGCAAATAGGCAAAATAGAAAAACATCAGAACCTCCAAAACAATTTTGAAGTTTGCCGACAGACTGTATATATAATTTACACCTCCGTTTACACAAAGAAACCTCATCAGCATCAATGAACTATACCATGACACCATTGTAACAAAACTAAACATAACAAATTGTTTTATTACTATGTCACATCCCATCTCTTAAGTAAAATGCCCTTCTCGAATTGAGATATACTAGTTTGATTTTGATAATGAAGCTAATATCAGAAACGAGATACGTTAGGTCTGTAACCGAAATGTGTACTTACTACTGAAGCCATGTTAGAAGGTTCGTTGAATCGAATGCTTTGAATCTAGTGAAGTATCGAAGAATGATGAGTGAATGATGAAACAAATCATTTAACCTCCTTTTATAGGATCTAAAAAAAAAAAAATTGTGATGAGGGCGGGTCAATTCATGCAAATTGAGACAAACTTTTTTTATGAAAACAATTTACCTTTGGTTAATTAAACTGTAATCTCCTATTTCATTATCAACTAATTTAAACTGTCGTTTTGTATTTCATTAGTAAACAGCTAAACTGTCATTTCACAATTCAAACCACCGATTGATCATGAATTAATGACAGCTGAAGGATATACAAAATAATAACCATATTCAGCTATTGAAATTCATAATGAATAATTTAGGATGTTCTACAAACACAAGAATCCCTTGATTTGCACGGTAATTGCTTCACCGATTTCGTCAACACTGTTATAATTTGATATTGTCTGATCAGTTATACGTAATAGCTACCATTGAAGGTGAAATGATATTGAATACATGTAATTAACTGTTGTACATAGCAACCAAGGTTTTTGTAAGGGAAAAATGTCAACCTAAATGAAACATATTATGATCTTAATAATAATAATAATAAGTATAATAATAATAATAATATTTATTGTCATAACAAATAATGATAATGATAAAACAATATTAACAATAATACTAAAAATGAAAAAAATAACAATAATAACAGTAGTGATAAATGATGAATTTGAAATTATCATAATGAACAGTAAAGCCTTGGTGGGGGGGGGGACACTAAGTTGTACAATCAAGCAGGGAAATTAACAGTGAAAATACGTGATTACTTCCAATGATAGTTTAAATGATATAAATACATGGTTTACTTAATGACGATATTTGAGAATAAAATATTAAACTCTTTTTGAAGCATTTATTATGACAAATTGGTTATTGTCGGGAGTAAAATAGTAATCATAATGTGCCAACAAGAACATTTTGGGTTTTGGGGTATCATGTAAAACGTGTAAGTCTCTACCCTCAGCTGAATCTGATGAAATAAGTGGGATTAAACAAAAAGGGGGGAAATAAAGATTAAAGTTTTTCAAATTATCTTGTATATGTTATTAATATTATAAACTGTCAATGAATATGTTATTATCTTTGACTTTAATTCCAGCGGCAACGGTTCTGCCTTCCATAATTATATCTATTCCGCCAATCAATTGTCTTTTTGACAGCTCGGCAGTGGTTTTATTTTACATGTGTTTATAAACTCCACCGGTCCAAAACAAATGAAAACTAATCTGTTTGGTAATTTTCCTATTTTTTTTTTTAGATCGTCTGCCATATTTCAATTAACTGTCACGTGTAATTAAATTTATTTACGATATTTTTTAACAAAGGTTCGCTCAAAGGTTCGTCCAATTTAGCACAGACGTCATTTTTGGCGGAGACTGTCATTCAAACTATACTTCAGTCATTCAATATAGAGTCTTGTGAATGGGGTTTTACACTTTCATCATTCAAATGAATTCCGTCTAGCGCGTGAGCCAAGAATCAATCAAACTCACCGGCAATTATTGTTGGAAGATGAACTCGGGCATTCGAGTTCGCGTATTGGCAGTCAATTTCGTATAACATATATAACAATTACTGATGTTGTTTTTGTAGGCCCTTGATGTTTTTTGTTCAATTCCCTGAAAATAAAACTATTTTGATCTATTCCGTTCCAATATCGATATCAGACCACTTTAATATGCTAAAATGAAGGCCTTGTAAATGCATTTTGTGTTTCAATATTTTCTCCATTCTCACAGCCACATAAGATCAGATGTCTATTCCCCCAAAACAACAAAATAAACAAATAAAAACATGCAAAATTTTTTGGGGGAGTAATTGACGTTGTGTTCATGATGGGCGTCATTCGATGGTGAAAATGAACGACAAAGTATCAATTATTAAACCATCGTGTAGATATTTTGTCTACATGTAGCAAATTATGAGTTTTCTATATTCATTTTCATGTAACTTGATGAAAACAGAGGGTATTTTTAGTAATGAACTTATTCAAATAGCCGGAAAAAAGACTTTATCCAATTGGAATAAAATGAATAAATTAATCAATACATACATACAGCATAACATTTTCAAGACCAAAATCGTTATCATTACTTTCATGTTCATTACTAACTTTATTTCAATAATTATCATTTTGTCTTCTAACCATGAGTATGAAAATATGACCTTTAATTAAATAAATTGACTTCAAATTAAGTTAAACGAAAAGTCGATCTTTCTGGAAATATCCTCTTTTGTTAAAGGATGTTCTAATCACCATCGTCGTTCTTATTTATGCCTTTTCTATTCATCAAATTATAATTCAAATCAAATGTATTCGCATGTAAAAATATATATTACAAACGTAACATTCGACCTCTGGGTACATTGTCACATCCTCAGGCACTTTACAACATCTGTATGATATTCTTTTACTTCAGCTTGCATCTCTTCTTATTTTAAGATAGACATTGATACCCCTCTCTCTCTCTCTCTCTCTCACACTATCCTAGCTTCTCTTTTCTCTTTTTTTTCTCTCTCTCCCCTTCTCTTTTACTCTTTATCCAGGCTCTTCCCTCTCTCTCTCTCCTATTCTCTCTCTTTCTTTCTCTCGTTCTATCTCGCTCTCCCCACCCCTCTCTTTCTCTTTTTTCCACGCCATCTCCCCTTTTCTCCCTCCCTCTCCCCTCTCCATTTCTTTCTCTATCGACCCTCTCATATTGCTTTTTTTTTTCTATTTTCTAGTTTTGTATCATCTCATTGCATGCTACGTTTTCTCTCTTCCAAATCACTCTTCAATATTGGTCGTAGCACAACTACATTCTTAAAGATCAACAAGTAATTATTCAAGACAGTTTTTTTTTTTTCGTTTGGTTAGAATTTTATTTCAAAGAAATAGTATGCCCTCATATCAATCAAAGGCTTTAATTTACAAGTTTCTTGTTATAAATAAGTTATTAAAATCTAATCAATTCAAGAAAGAAAAACATTAATATGTTAATAAAAAAATAAAATCAATAAAAATGAATATGTGCCATCAACTTATAAATACAAATAGTACAAATTCAAAATAGGGCACTAGCCTGTATAAGTGTTATGTTGTAACTACGCAAATCAAATTTGTATAAATAATAAAAAATATCCTTGAAACTAGAGTCAACACAAATTGAAAATTAGTCAGAAGAGAATTTGATATTAACTGTCATAGATTAGGATTATTATTAAAGGTTTTAGATCATAAACAGATATCAGGTATATATCAAAGATTGTGGAGCCTTAGAACGACAATTCGAAAATCGTAATATGGGTCTGGGAAAATTATCCTAAATACCGCATAATCTACAAAAAGAATAAAATTGATGTAAGTAATTCAAGTTTGATATGCCGTCCCAGATGACTATTATAAATGTAAGATAAGAAAGAATAAGTTTATCAGTTTAGTTTGCTTGGAGCTGATTGTCACTTTGTTGTATATCACATTAGAATTTAGAATTTAGAATTGTATTGACTCTTTAACCCCCTCCGGGGTATGAGAGTACAAACAAACATCAAAGTATAAAAAGCAATGCATGACTTGTGAATACAATTCTTATACATGATACATAGATAATAACACAAAGATACAAACGATAATAGGTATTTAGTGTATAAAAGTACTAACGTGAACAATGTAACCAATTAGTAAACACAATGTACAATGCAGATAAAGGCGATAATAAAATGTTTAAGTATAATGCAGTCTATTTTAATATACAAGATAATCACGGATGATGAAGGCTTGACTTAAATTGAATGAATTACAGTATGTGTAAGACTCTAATACCTATTTTGATTAGGGCAGTATTATGTCACCATTTAATCATCTTGAAGTCGCAAAATGAATTGCATTTATAATGTGTAGGTGATTAATATATAGAAATAGATTGAAATGAATTACAATAAATAGAAAGTCAGATGTCGAGCAGATGACAGAACAAGACTCTTTGATCTCCTATAAAAACGATATTCTAGGTAACGACCTTTGACATGTCATGGAGATGGCCTTCTTAGTCTGTTTCACTAGACTCAACGGATGATTCAGCAGAAGCAGAGACAGAGGAAGAACGTCTAAAACGAGCTGTATGGGATGAGAAAACACATCAATTATTTCCTTGAATATACCGTAATCTATTAGCAACTAATTATAATATCAATCCGGCAGATCGTAAAGTGACATCTGAGCAAAAGTTTTTAATACGACATTTTGCCCCTGCAACATTAATGGCTCCTAGATGAACCGAATTCCTTAATAAAATATACCAACCGCCCCCCCCCCCCCAAACTAACAACAACAAATGGCTACTTCGGCGATGTTCCTTACCTGAAGCGGGACACGAGACAACTCGGATGCAAACGCTCTCCAAGATCTCACAAGCATCGGCAAAGTCCGTTTCACCTTCCTCTTCCAAACACACCTGATTATTATCGGCTGAATTCAGCAAAGCCTGCTCATCAGCAGTCACTAGCCCGGGAAGTCTTTCTTCACAGTCGTTCATCACTGTTCTGTATCTATCACAGAGGGCTTGAAACTCCGAAGTGCGATCGGTCGTTTGGGCTATAATTAGGAGAAAGTAATGCGAATTTAGAGAACACAATGAGATTTTGTTTATAACTTGTTCTCCAATACTCCCTCTTTTGAATCAATATATCTTTTTATGAATCCACGTACAACGAAGGAATATTCAATTTAGATGAAATGAACAGTCACAAATAATATAAATTTCTTGCAAAATCATCTCATCAATCAAAGTGCGATCGGTGGTTTGAGCTGTATAATTAGGAGAAAGTAATGTGAATTTAGCGATTACAATGACATTTTAAGCAAAACAGAATTTTGCCTGTTCTCCAATGCAACCTCTTTTGAATCAATAGGTTTTTATATTTTTAATGCACGTACAACGACAGAATTTTCAATTTAGATGAAACGGATAGTCATAAAACACATAGAATTCCTGCGAAATCATCCCTCAATCATGTAAATAATAATCGAATCGCCGTACCAATGAATTTCGTTATGAACAATATCATTAAGCACATAAATAACAATAACAAATGTATTCGTTTGACTTCATATCACAAACAAATGATTTAAAAGTCAATTACAGGCTTTACAAAAACTACTCGATGTCCCCTAATATATTTACTGTAAGACAGAATCTTTAATAACCATTGAAAATTATTGCATATTCCATCATAAACATGATATTCATTATATTGATATATATTATTTCCATGTGAAATGCATTGCACAGTTCCCCATGAATGACGTATGTACCCGAAGAGACCCAAGTGGTATTATTTGTCATCTTCGTTCTAAAATCATAACAAAACATGATAAAATTTAAATAATAAAGATGCGTTCTTACCTTTGATTTCCAGTGTAACAAATGCAATGAGGCACAGGCAAAGGGACAGGGTTTTTACCTGGAAATACAGAAAAACCGCGTCAAAATCAATAGTTTGTCTCGGATAAATTCCGGGAGTATTTATCACTGCAACAATGCGGTATAGAATTAAACAAAAAAGTTCAGGGTTTTTACCTGGAAATAAAGAAAGAGCCGCGTTAAAACCAATGATTGGTCTCTGATACATTCTGGGAGTATTCAACACTACAACAAAGCGGTATAAACTTTTAAAAATGAAAATCAATGTATTCCACAAAGAATGTATTGCTTACATAAAGATTTTTTTCTGTGCAATTATGAAAAATATGAAAACAGCAGAACTTCCTTAACAAAACAAAACAATTTTGAAGTTTGCCGACAGATTATATATATATATCATTTTACACCTCCGTTTACACAAGGAAACCTCATCAGCATCAATGTTGTTCGTCCTGAGGTACCTGCAATCATCATTACCCGAACAACTATCCCTGGGTAGAGAGTGGCAAATGTGAATTAACGTCTTACCAGAGGACGTGAGTATCTGGCTGGGATTCGAACCCTTAACCCTAGGATTGAGAGTTATTAGTGAATGAACTATACCATAACACCATTGTAACAAAACAAAACATAACAAATTGTTTGATTATTATGTCACATCTGATCTCTTAAGTAAATTGCCCTTCTCGAATTGAGATTTACTAGTTTGATATTGATAATGAAGCTAATATCAGAAACGAGAAAGGTTAGGTCTGTAATGGAAAATTAAACTTACTACTGAAGCCATGTTAGAAGGTTCGTTGACTCAAATGCTTTGAATCTAGTGAATATCGAAGAATGATGAGTGAATGATGAAACAAATCATTTAACCTCCTTTTATAGAATCTAAAAAAATTAAATTTGTGATGAGGGCGGGTCAATTCATGCAAATTGAGACAAACTTTTTCATGAAAACAATTTACCTTTGGTTAATTAAACTGTAATCTCCTATTTCATTATCAACTAATTTAAACTGTCATTTTGTATTTCATTAGTAAATAGCTAAACTGTCATTCCACAATTCAAACCACCGATTAATCACGAAGCAATGACAGCTGAAGGATATAAAAAATAATAACCATATCCAGCTATCGAAATTCATAATGAATAATTAAGGATGTTCTACAAACACAAGAATCCCTTGTCTGGCACGGTCATTGCTTCACCGATTTCGCCAACACTGTTATTATGACAAGGTCTGATCAGTTATACGTAATAGCTATCATTGAAGGTGAAATGATATTGACTACATGTAATTAACTGTTGTACATAGCGACCAACATTTTTTTAAGGAAAATATATCAACCTAAATGAACATGATATTGATGATACTAATAATTATAATAATAATAATAATCATACTAATAATATTAACAATAATACTAAAAATGAAAAAAATAATAATAATAACAGTTCATAAATGATGATTTTGAGAATTATCATAATGAGCAGCAAAGCCTTGGCGGGGGGCACTCAGTTGTACAATCAAGCAGGGAAATCAACAGTGAATATGTGGTAGTTTAAAGGATAAAAATACATGGTTTATTTAATGATGATAATTGAGAATAAAACTTTTAACTCTTTTTGAAGCATTTATTATGACAAATTATTTATTTTCGGGAGTAAAATAGTAAACATAATGTGCAAACCAGAACATTTTGGGTTTTGGGGTATCATGTGAAACGTATAAAGCTCTACCCACAGCTGAATCTGATGAAATAAGTGGGATAAAAAAAAGGAATTACAAATAATTCAAAATAGAGGAATTAAAGATTCAAGTATGTTAAATTATCTTGTTCATGTTATTCATAAAATAAACTGTAAATGGATTATTATCTTATACTTTAATTCCAGCATCAACGATTCTGGTTTCCGTGAGTGCATTTGTTTTGCCAACCAATGATCCCTTTGACAGCTTGGCAGTGTTTTTACTTTACAGGTGTTTATAACATCAATCGTGCCAAAACAAATGACAACTATTCCGTTTGGTGATTTTCCAAGTTTGTTTATTATCACCATCGTCCGCCATATTTCGATTAACTGTCACGTGTTAATAAATTTATTTACGATATTTTGTAACAAATGGTCGCTCAAAGGTTCGTTCAATTAAGCGTAGACGTCATTTTTGGTGGAGACTGTTATTCAAACTATACTTCAGTCATTCAATATAGAGTTTCGAGCATGGGATTTTAACTCTTTTTCCATCCAAATTCATTCTGTCTTGTGCGTGTGCCAATATTCGTTCAAATTCGACGGTAATTGTCGAAAGTTGAACTCGGGCATTCGAGTTCACGAATGGACCGTCAATTTCGTAACATGTTCTTTCATATTAAGATTAAGATGTTGTTTATGTAAGCCCTATCATTTTACAAATTTCTGAAAATTAAATAATGTAGATTCATTTTGTTTCATTGTCGATATCAGATGCACTTTCGACAATTCAGGCTTAAAGGCCCGGTCACACAGAGGGGACGCATGGGGGACGCATGGCCGGCGCATGGAAAATTTGCAATTTTGGCCAGTGCGTTGTCGTTCGCTAGGCGTGTGTCATCACTCGTTACTCGTTCGTCGAGCGCGCTGGACCCACGCTATGCATTCGTCGCCATTCGCTGTGTGCGTCGGGATTTTTTGAGCATGCTCAAAAGTGTGTGCGGAGCTCGACGCATGAATGTACACGCGAAAGGCACGCCAGACATGCGTGGAGCGCGCTAGACCAGCGCCAGACATGCGTTGAGCACCCGTAGACCAGCGCCAGACATACGCGGAGCACACGCCCTGTATACGCACAGCGCGCTAGCTACACGCCGTGCATTTTGTGTCAGCTCGCTAGCTTAAAGGCCCGGTCACATAGAGGGGACGCATGGGGAACGCACGGCCAGCGCATTGGAAATTTGCAATTTTGGCCAGTGCGTTGTCGTGCGCCCAACTTTTGTCGAAGCTATACAGCTAGCTGACACCAAATGCATAGCGCGCTGGACGCATACAGGGCGTATACAGGGCGCACACAGGGCGCACACAGAGCGCACACGAAAACAACTTCCACGAATGCACAGCGTGTTGCTAGCGCGCTGGACGAATGGTCCACGCATGCACCGCGTTCTACGACGCACGGCCAGCGCATTGGAAATCGGAAAAGAACGTGTGCCTAACTTTTGTCATAATTTTGGAAAAGCTAGCGAGCTGACACAAAATGCACGGCGTGTAGCTAGCGCGCTGTGCGTATACAGGGCGTGTGCTCCGCGTTTGTCTGGCGCTGGTCTAGCGCGCTCCACGCATGTCTGGCGCTGGTCTAGCGCGCTCCGGCGCATGCCTGGCGTGCCTTTGGCGTGTATATTCATGCGTCGAGCTCGGCGCACGTTTTTGAGCATGCTCAAAAAATCCCGACGCACACAGCGAATGACGACGCATGCATAGCGCTGGTTCAGCGTTGGTCCAGCGCGCTCGACGAACGAGTAACGAATGATGACGCACGCCTAGCGAACGACAACGCACTGGCCCAAATTGCAAATTTCCAATGCGCTGGCCGTGCGTTCCCCATGCGTCCTCCCTGTGTGACCGGGCCTTAACTTTTGTCATAATTTTGGAAAAGCTAGCGAGCTGACACAAAATGCACGGCGTGTAGCTAGCGCGCTGTGTGTATACAGGGCGTGTGCTCCGCGTTTGTCTGGCGCTGGTCTAGCGCGCTCCACGCATGGCTGGCGCTGGTCTAGCGCGCTCCGGCGCATGTCTGGCGTGCCTTTGGCGTGTATATTCATGCGTCGAGCTCGGCGCACGTTTTTGAGCATGCTCAAAAAATCCCGACGCACACAGCGAATGACGACGCATGCATAGCGCTGGTCCAGCGTTGGTCCAGCGCGCTCGACGAACGAGTAACGAATGATGACTCACGCCTAGCGAACGACAACGCACTGGCCCAAATTGCAAATTTCCAATGCGCTGGCCGTGCGTTCCCCATGCGTCCTCCCTGTGTGACCGGGCCTTAACTTTTGTCATAATTTTGGAAAAGCTAGCGAGCTGACACAAAATGCACGGCGTGTAGCTAGCGCGCTGTGTGTATACAGGGCGTGTGCTCCGCGTTTGTCTGGCGCTGGTCTAGCGCGCTCCACGCATGGCTGGCGCTGGTCTAGCGCGCTCCGGCGCATGTCTGGCGTGCCTTTGGCGTGTATATTCATGCGTCGAGCTCGGCGCACGTTTTTGAGCATGCTCAAAAAATCCCGACGCACACAGCGAATGACGACGCATGCATAGCGCTGGTCCAGCGTTGGTCCAGCGCGCTCGACGAACGAGTAACGAATGATGACGCACGCCTAGCGAACGACAACGCACTGGCCCAAATTGCAAATTTCCAATGCGCTGGCCGTGCGTTCCCCATGCGTCCTCCCTGTGTGACCGGGCCTTGAAGACTTTTATATGTTATGTTTCCCCGTTTTTCTTCTTTTCTAATACTGTAATAGCTACGTTAGATCAATTCGTCGGTGTTTCACGAAGTGACGGTAGTGAACACAAATTGCATTCACTTTACGTTACGATTTTCCTCACTACCGTCACTTCGTGAAAACAAGGACGAATTGCCTCAAAATTCCCCTCCCCCTAATGAAAAAAAAAAAAAAATAACCCTTTTTGGGGCAAGAACGTAAATACAGCATAACATTTCCAAGACCAAAATCGTTATTATTACTTTCATGTTTTAATACTCAATTTATTTCAATAATTATCGTTTTGCTTTCCACCCGGGAGTATTAAAATATGACTTTAAATAAAGAAAATTGACTCCAAAATTAGGTTTAACATCAAGTCAAACTTTCTGGAAATTTCCTCTTTTTTTTTAAAGGATTTTCTAATCATCATCGTTGTGCTTAGTTATGCCTTTACAAGGATGCCAGTTAGAATTGATCGAAAGGCCTGAAAAACATTCAATGAGCTATTTTGTACCCCTAAAAAGCACCCGAACTATGGCCTGAAAATAAATCACCAGGGCCTGAATTCAGGCTTTTGCCTGAAAACTGCCATCCCTGCCTTCTCTATTCTTCAACTTATAATTAAAACTGATTTATTCCCATGTAAAAATTTATAATACAAACGTAACATTCGATTTCTGCATACATTGTCACATCCTCAGTTAACATACAACATCTGTATAATATTGTTTTATTATAGCTTGCCTCTCTTCTTAAATAGATATTGATCTCTCCCCCCCCCCCCTCTCTCTCTCTTTTTCTCTCCCACCCACTCTTTCTGTATTTATCTCCAACTGTATGTTTGTCTATCCCCACTCTTTATGTATGTCTGTCTCTCTGTCTCTTTTTGTCTCTCTCTCTGTATCTGGTTGAACGACAGATGATCCGCGTAACACTGACCTCATGATAAATACAACGTTGTACCAAACACTACACCTTACCCTAACCTTAACCCTAACTCTTAACCCAATAGCAACCCTAGCCATAAGTTACCCTATCTTTGAAGAAAAAAAGTCAGTGCAGTTTTTTTGTACTCATGTTTTTATTGGACGTCAAAAACAGAAACATGCAGCACAAGGATAACAAATAATGATTTACAATTGTCGCCAGAGCGTCGGAGCGCATCTTCATCATTTCTCTCTCTTTCATGATACCACCTCTTCTCTCTCTCTCTCTCTCTCTCTCTCTCTCTCTCTCTCTCTCTCTTTCTCTCTCTATCTCTCTCACACTAGCTCTGTCTCTCTTTCTTTCTCTAGCTCTCCCCTCTTCCCTGTTCTCTCTCTTTCTATCTCGCTCTCACCTCCCCCTCTCTCTCTATTGTCCATACCATCTCCCCTTCT